CACCTCCAGCCCTTCCTGGGACACCTCCAGGGATGGGGACTCCAAAGCTCCCTGGGCAGCCCCTGCCAAGGCCTGAGCACCCTTTCCATGGGCAAATTCCTCCTGGTGTCCACCCTGAGCCTCCCCCGGCCCAGCCTGAGACCGACCCTCCTGTCCTGTCCTCCCACGTGAAAAGACCCCATCCCTGGAGGTGTCCAAGGAATGCCTGGACGTGACATTCAGTATTTTGGTCTGGGTGACAAGGTGGGGGTCTGGCACAGCTTTGACTCGGTTGTCTCAGACAGCTTTKCCAACCTCAGTGATCCTGGGATTCTGCGAATTTCCTGGTGCCCATGGAAGGCAGTGCCCCGGCACAGAYGGGTTTACAACCACAGAAGTGTCCCTTAGGGCCAGAGGCTGCTTTTTCTACATCTCACATGAGACAAACCCATTTGCTCTCCGTGGCCTGGCTCAGGCATGGAAATAGAGGTTAGATTCAGTTTCCACCCCACAGCTGAGCAAAGATAAACTTATTGCCACAAGACATCTTGACACAGTTGGCTCCAGGGCCACCTGAGGGGACACCCACTCCTGGGGCTGTGTTTGCCTTTGTAATATCCAGTTTGCTTTTATTGTGCAATATATTATGATTTTAATTAAGCATTTGTTGTCTCACGGGTCAGAAGGAGACAGCCAGAACTTCCCCTCTGTCATTCCCTTGAAGCGATGCTGCAAACACTCCTCTTGCAGAATTTATGATTATTTCCACTACAGATTTATCCTCCCAATAAAAATTATGTGTATTGCCAGCACTGTGGCTGCAGCATTGCCAGCCATAAATCACTGGGAGCCATAAACATGTCACCAATAAACTATCAGGAGAAAATCCTGCCTGCTGGGAGAGCAGCATAAATGGAAACGCTCATTTACTGCGCTCACTCCTCCCGCTGTTTGCGCACGGCAGCCCGGGCTCCACGGCTCCCGGGTGACGGGGCAGGGTCAGCGTTATAAGGGCTGACACCGGACACGGGCACGGACACGACASGGACASGGACAGGGACACGGACAGGGACAGGGACACGGACACGGACAGGGACAGGGAGAGGGAGAGGGACAGGGACAGGGACAGGGACACGGACACGGACACGGACAGGGAGAGGGAGAGGGAGAGGGAGAGGGACAGGGACAGGGACACGGACAGGGACAGGAACAGGAACAGGGACAGGGACAGGGACAGGGACAGGGACACGGACACGGACACGGACAGGGACACGGACACGGACAGGGAGAGGGACAGGGACAGGGACAGGGACACGGACACGGACACGGACACGGACACGGCCACGGACACGGCCACGGACCGGACACGGACTGGGATCTCCCTCTGCTCCTCGCCCGAGAGCCCCGGCGCCGCTCGGTAAGTGCAGCAGCCCCGGCCCCGCTCCGTGCCGCCTTTGGTGGGACGGTGGCACGGACGGGCGGAGCAGCCGCCGGTGCCCTCGGCAGGTCCCTGTCGCTCCGTGGTGGCCGGGGTGGCATGTGCCGCGGGGAGCGGGCGGTTGGCATCTCCCCATCGCTGGGGAGCTCGGAGCCGTGGCGGTGCTGTCGATGTGCTGGGGCCGTGTCCCGCTGCTGTCCCACCCTCGGGCGGATGGCTCGGCTGTGGGAATGGCCCGTGCCTGTCCTGGCCCCCAAAGTCACCAGGCAATTGGGCTCYGTGGGTGCCAGGGTTCCTCTGCAGATCCCACTCCCTCCGTTGAGCCCTCGCTTGGTTGCTTGAGTTGGCAGCGATGCCATTGTGAAAACAGCAATGTCTCCTCTTTGGAAYGAAGCAGATTTGGGGTCTCGTCTGGTCCCAGCCCTAGCTCCCAAGCCCCTGCTCCTGCCCTTGCTGACAAGAACCTCTAAAGCACTTTGAGTTGTTGGTGAACATCAAAGCCAGAGACAGTCAAAAAATCAGGAGGTGGCTTTGAGGGCAGGAGAAAGGACATCAGCGTGTCCTCCATGAGGCTTCTGCCCTGGTGCCTGGCCTCTGCTCCTTCAGCTGGGCTGCTCCTGGGGAGCAGGAACTCCTTGGGCACTGGGCAGGGATCATCTTCTCTGTGGCTGGATGCCTCAGCAGACACCTCCCAGGGCTGCCATGAATCTAACTTGGTATCCTCCAGGAACGGGAGGTTTGCTTCCTCTTCAGGCCTTGGCTGCGCTAGAAAGGTGCAATCGCCATCCCGTGATAGTCAGACAGGAGGTCTTTTCTGACCTGGCTGTGTGGTTCTGTGACTCTGCAGCAGACACATGTGTGCTGTAAGTTGAGCTGTATGTTGTCTACACGCACACAAGTGCCCATAGCCATCAGCAAGCATGCCTGCTTGTTTATATATTTCATACATTCTATGTRTGTATATTTATATATTTCATACACTCTATGTGTGTGTATTTATGTACCTCATTTACAGGGACACACATGAAACATGGAGGGGTAAAACCATMTTGGAGTGGAATCTGTAATGTTTTGGAGCACATAACAAATGAGAGTAGCTCAGAGGGGAACAGAGTGAATAAACCCTGTTTCTGAGTAATTTCTACAGCATGGTGGGAGTTGCTGGTGTGACAAAATCAGGTTTGAAGGAAGGTTTTCTTATTAGTGAAGCATCTCCTACAGACCCAGAGAATTCTCACCAGCCTCTTCTTTCCCTGGTGCTCTAACAGTGTCCGTATCTTCCTCCATATTCCGGGAAAACTGTTGAATCTCAATGTCTTGGAGAGTTCTGGATATCTGCCAGAAGCTGCGCTCAGAGACACGGAGCTGCACACATTTGGGGTGTTTTAGGTTTTTAACMCAGGCCTCAGATGTGACTCAATTGCAGGAGTTGGCAGAGTGATTTCACTGCTTAGATCACAGAATTGTGGAATGGGCTGGGTAAAAAAAGGACYTTAAAAGCTCATCCAGTGCCACCCCTGCCATGGTAAGGGCACCTCCTATGCCAAGTGCTGTCCAGCTTGGCCTTGGGCACTSMMAGGGATCCAGGGGCAGCCACAGCTTCTCTGGGCACCCTGTGCAGGGTCTCAGCACCTCCAGATGCATTGGCAGAAAGGGGCAGCTCCTACTCTGGGGAGCTCTGAGTCRGCAGCGAGGACAGAGGCACCTGTGGGCAGTTTCCTTTGGTACCATCAGGCCTTGTGGAACCATCAGGGGATGCACCAGCTGCCCACCCATGTCCAAGCCCCCCAGGTGCTGCCCAGGCTCTCCTGAGGAAGGGCTGAGATTGTCCCCTCAGCATCTCACAAGGCAGGGCTGCAGGTCAGRGTGATTCTGATGCCAACATGTGGCTCTGCCTTGCCTGAAGGAAATCAAATGCTTTYGGGTTTTCCCCAGGTCCCATCAGTTACGTGTTGCTTTTGCCCTGGAGCAGGAAGATGTTCGTCTTTGCTAAGCTTCGGGATTTGTCACATTAGACTCTCAAGCTGAGAATCTAATTAAGAAAATAATATTAGGAACCTAATAAATATGTCATGAAGAGCTGTGTGTTACTCAAAGATGAGCTGTGTTACAGAAAAGCCTCTGCCTCATAATCCAGGCGCTCTGTGACCTGAGTTTTGTATCCTGTGGAAGGTGCAGGAAGACTGAAATCACAAATATGTTTTTGCTTTGATTAGTTCTTTCTTGCACATTTGCTGCTTTCCCCCACCCACCCAGCAAGTCATTCTGTCACTGAGGGGCTCAGGGACCCTGTCAGCCTTTCCAACATTGTCACATGAAATCTAAGAACCTGGATTGTGCCAAGGTTTGGAGGTTCATTGGATAATTCGTATTGGAGAGACTTCTGTGGATCTCTAGTCCAATATCTGCCTCGAGGCAGGGCCAGCTGGGAGGTCAGACAAGGGTGTTCATGGCCTTGAAAACTTCTGTGGATATATGTGCCACCTCTGGGCAGCCTGCTCTGATGCTTGATGGGGAAAYGTGTCTCATTTTATTCAGTTTAAATCTCCCTTGTTCGGGCTCACACCTGTTGCCTCCCATCCTTCTCGCATGCTCTGCTCTGAAGAGCCTGCTCCAGCTTCCTTGGTGCCTCCKTGGAGGGAGGGGAAGGCTGCTGCTGGGTCCCTGCAAGCCCTCTGTTCTCCAGGCTGAACAAGCCTCTTTCCTTGATCTCTTATTCCAAGGCATTCTCCACCCCCACCTGCCTCATCCTCACCTGCTGAACTCACCGGAGCAGACACTGCCAGATTTCTGCCAGGGCCTCCCTCACCTCCTGCTCTTGATCCTGTGTAAAACACTCATCACAGCCCATGTGCCCCCTCGCTTCCAGTTCGGACCCCCAGGATCCTCCCCAGGATCCTCCCCAGGGCCCTATAATGTCTTTGCTTTGCCTCGTGTTTGCCTTTATCAACCAGCCTGGGCCCGTGAGGGGTTTTGGTCATTTATTCTCCTCTCCACCTGTTAGTGGGACTGTGAAATGAGCAGGGTTTGGTGTGAGAACCACTGAAAATGCACATGGCCCTGGGAGCCATCTCCTGAGCCGAGAGCAGGAGGGTCAGAGTGGCTGATTCTCTGTCCTGTTGTAAACCATGGAATCCCAGACTGGTTTGGGTTGGGAGGAACCTTAAAGACCACCCTGTTCCAGCTGRTGSTGTGGGCAGGGACCCCTTCCTSTAGACCAGGCTGCTCAACCTGGCATTTAACATTTCTAGGGATGGGGCAGCCACAKCTTCTCTGGGCAACYTGTGCCAGTGCCAACAAACTTTGCATTTGTTTCCAGTRTTGATTTCCTAAATAAGAAGTGTCAGGGTTAAATGTTCACTATTTTCATGCTTTTTCATCCCCAGTTGGCATAAAAAAAAGCCTTGGCTTGGCAGTTTGGTCATGATTGGGATGATTTCAGAAAAGGCATTTGCTCACTCCACAGAGCATCTCAAACACTGGAATTTGGGGACAACTGTGACATAGTGGCACTCCCTGGAAATGTTTTCCTTTTCATTCTAAAGTCTTTCTTTTTTTTTCTTTTTCTCTTTTTCAAGAAAAAATGTCCATCTCTTTCCTTCATCTTGCGATTTAATGGATAAACAGGAGCGTAGCCATATGTGACCGTGTCCAAAGAGCGCAGGGATCCCTGCAGAGGCTGCTGGGGCCGCAGAGGGATGCGCAGCTCCTCTGTTCAGCCAGAGCCCAGCTCCGTGGTGCTTGTGCTGTTGGTTTGTTTTAGGCCCAGGCCATGTGAGAGCTGAGCTGGGATGGAGCGCGACTCACACACCCCGTGGGAGTTCAATGGCTCCTTCTACCAACCCTCAGCTCTCCTCATGATGGGCATCCCGGGCCTGGAGGCCCTTCACCCCTGGATCTCCATCCCTTTCTGTGCCCTCTACCTGACCGCTCTGGTGGGCAACWGCGTGATCCTGTTCATCATCAGGAGGACCCAAAGCCTTCACGAGCCCATGTATTATTTCCTGTCCATGCTGGCGGTCACCGACCTGGGCCTGGCTCTCTGCACCCTGCCCACCACCCTGGGCCTCTTCTGGTTCGACGTGCGCAGGATTGGCTTCGACGCCTGCCTCACCCAGATGTATTTCATCCACATCCTGTCCTTCATCGAGTCCTCCGTGCTCCTGGCCATGGCCTTTGACCGCTTCATTGCCATCTCGCACCCCCTGAGACACCGGTCCATCCTGACCAAGACCACTGTCCTAAAGATCGGCCTGGCCATYGTGCTCAGGGGGATGGTCTCGCTCCTTCCCATTCCCTTCCTGCTCAAGAGACTGACCTACTGCGGAAAGACGGAGCTCTCCCACTCTTTCTGCTTCCACCCCGACATCATGAACCTGGCGTGTGCAGATATAAAGGTCAATGTCTTCTACGGGATGATYATTCTCTTGTCCACCGTGGGGATGGACTTCATCTTCATCGTGCTGTCCTACATCCTCATCATCAGAACCGTGGTCAGCCTCGCCACCAAGGAGGAGTGCCTGAAGGCTCTGAACACCTGCGTGTCCCACATCTGTGCTGTCCTTGTATTCTTTATCCCCATGATCGGGCTGTCCATGATCCATCGCTTTGGAAGGAACGTTCCCCCCCTTGTTAACACCTTRGTGGCCTACACCTACCTTATCATTCCCCCCGCCCTCAACCCCGTTATCTACAGCATAAAATCCACCCACATCCGGGAGGCTTTGCTCAGGGCCCTGTGCAGGAAGAGTGCGTCTGACTGGTAACCTCCTCCAGCAGTCCTGCCACAAAGTGCTGATGGACTGGTCACTCAGTCACAGCTCTGGGACTGGTCTGGAACTGGTTCCTCAGGCACAGCTCTGGGACTGGTCTCTCAGTCAACCCACTGGAACTGGTTTCTGGGTTGGAGCTCTTGGCCTGGTTTCCCAGTCAGAGCTGGTGGAGTGGTCTCTTGGTGCTTCATCCGTGCAGGTCACTGCAGAGGAAAGAACTGCAGGTCCACTGGGATGCTGTCCCTCAAGCCAGAGCTGTGAATTTTCATGCTGTGTCCTAGTATGGTGCTTTCATCCCTTCCAGCAGCTGGCAGACACCCCAAGATTAGYGATACAGCCAGATGGAAGCCCCCGTAAGAGGGAGGCAATTAAAGAAAAATGGGCCTCTTGACTTGCTCTTTTCAAGTGATGTGATGGGAAGATCAAGGAGCCTCCTGTGTGTGAGGCAAACTTGGAGCAGATAATGGGGTGTAACCTTCACTGAGAGACCTTGCACAGAGTCATCGTCCCCTTGCCGTGTGTCACAGCCCAGCTGAGCTGGCAGCAAACCCCACAGGACGGGCTATGGGCCGAGAGCTGGGGGCCACTCTGGCCATCCGTCACTGATTGTTCATCTGGAAACATCTCCCAAGGGGCAGCCCAGTGCAGAGACTGAGCACAGAGCATTTCTCATTAGGTGCTGTTGAGGGGCCCAGAGCGCTCTCAGCCCTTCTGGACAGCCTGCTCAGCCATCATTCACGTGTCTGGAGTGCCATGCCCATCCCCATTCMGGGAACAGCTGCTTTTGTGTCTCTTTTGGATGTCTTTGAGTCTTACCAGCTTGCCAAGTCTCATGAATGTCCCAGTCACTGTTGTGCATTGAATGCCATGTACGTGCAGCATCTACAATAAAACCCATCTATTCCTTGTGAAAGGTCACAAAACTTGATGAAGCTTTTTTTCTGTCTATACAATGCAGAAATATTAGGTTGGAGTTGCCTAAAATCTTCAGGGGTGCTGCAGATAAGCAGGACTGTATGAGTCAGGGGTGTGTCCCTGTGTGGGTTTGGGGGTCTGGTGAAGCTGGAAACTCTCAAAAATAAAAAAAAAGGGGTTCAAAACTATAAGGAATGGCTAAACATCCTGACGCTCAGGACCACGGGCTGCTGCCTTCCATCTGAGGTCAGCTGGTGCTGGCTGTGCCCCTCAGAGGGACGGAGGAGATCTCCAGGGGCACCCACAGCTGGGAGGTGACAGCCTGTCTCCTTGCTCTGCTGGAGGCTGGGTCTCAGCCACACAGGAAAAGAGGTCTCATGGTTCTCCTGGCTTGAATAAAATGCCCCAAAATCATGGAACAGAATCACAGCACTGCTCTGGTTGGAAAAGCCCTCCCAGACCTGTGACGGATCCCCACCTTGTCACTCAGACCAGAACACTGAGTGCCACCTCCAGYTGTAAATATTTCGTTCCTCCCAATTTCAGAGCTGTATTTCTGTGGATCTCAAACCATATTTTGGCCAGTCTTGACCACAGTGGAGAGTAAGAAGCAACAGTCAGTGTTCAGCTTGGAAGGATGAAGCAGCAAAGGCACCGGGACAGGATCCCAGCCCTGAACTGGCCTGRTTTTGCCTGGCACTGAGCACTGGGGCCCAGATCAGTGCCCTTCTGTTCTGCTCCACCCATGCAGCAGCTGGAATGGAGAGAAAAAAACAGTGCGAGAACAGCTCCATAAAAAACAGAAAGAGGGCAGGGAGGATTCCTGAGGGGAGGATTCCCAGGCCACTGCTTGCTCTGTGTTGTGTGAACCATCTCGTTGAGTGTCCCCGGGGTCCCTCTCCCAGGGTGGAACAGCAACAGCCCCAGGAGCTCAGCCTGGGGAGCAGCTCCTGCTGGCGCTGGGGAAGGGACAGCTCTGCTCAAATATCTGTGATCGCAACGGGAGCTTGCAAGATTAACAGCATCCAGGAGAAAAGAGCTTCTCTGAAGAGATGCCTGGCTTCCAGCATCTTCACACCAGAGTCTGAAAATGATGACTGAGAATTCTGAGAAGATTCTGAGTCTGCTCCCATTCTGAAAACTTTCAGAGTTCATCCCTGGATGTCTGTGCTTCCTGACTGCGGCTCTTCTCCAAAACGGCTCAGAAACAAAAACCCCAGGAGCCTCTGCCACAGTAAGAAGATGTTTGTGAGGGACTTGGAGGGCAGAGTGTGGGGGATTTATCAGCACATCTGTCAGCACARCTGGAGAGCAGGGTGGAGGGGGAATGAGACAGGGAGAGATAAAAATGGGGTGGAGAGAAAGGGGAAAGGAAAGAGGGAGAAGGCAGAGAAGGAAAAAGAAGAAGAAGGATGGGAGGACTGGGATTATTCTGCCTGGAGGGGTAAAGGCACCAGAGAGACCTTAGAGACCCTTCCAGGGCCTGAAGGGGCTCCAGGAGAGCTGGAGAGGGACTGGGGACAAGGGCTGCAGGGACAGGAGCCAGGGAATGGCTTCCCAGTGCCAGAGGGCAGGGCCAGATGGGATATTGGGAAGGAATTGTTCCCTGGGAGGGTGGGCAGGCCCTGGCACAGGGTGCCCAGAGAAGCTGTGGCTGCCCCTGAATCCCTTTGAGTGCCCAAGGCCAGGCTGGACATCGGGGTTGGGGGCAGCCTGGGACTGTGGGAGGTGTCCCTGCCATGGCAGGGGTGGGCTGGATGGGCTTTGAGGTCCTTGTAACCCAAACCATTCCATGGGTCTTTGATGAGGTGGGCATTGGTCAAAGGTTGGACTCAACAATCCTGGCTTTCCAACCTCATTGATTCTGTGATTCACTGCTGTGGCTGCTGCTTGGATCCTGCTAGGAAAACAAATCTGCATTTATTGGTGTTTCAAAKACATGGATCCAGTCTCCATCTCTACAGAAAGCCAGGCTCTCACAGCACCCGCTCCCGAATCCCAAGCCCTTCTGAAAACCTGCGTTCGTTTATAGTGCCAGAGAATTAGAGATGAGCTGAAGCATCAGGGATTGTTTCAGTGCCTGTCTCACAGCCCCATTCCCTCAGGGGCAGAGATTTTCCGGTGAGACTCGGGTAATTCCTTCAGRGCTGGCGGGAGAGGTGCCACAGTACCTGTTGGTGATTACTGAGGCTCCTTGTTCATTCCGTTTGTTCCTTAATTCGAGTGTTTTGCTGCCAACGTCATCCCTGGAACAGATTTTGGGCRCAGTGACAGCAACAGTCCTCCCACGCTGTGTGTAAATCGGGTAGAAAAAGCTACAGTGTGAGTCTTACTCGTTATACATCAAAGATGGARAAGCCCCACATCAGGAGAATAAATCCTGATGCTATTTTAGGGCTTCACCCCAGTTGTGTGATAAAAATCCTGTATTTCACAACCCAGTGATACTTATAAAATRACTCCATTAATAACCTGCAGAGCTTGCCATAAAACCCCTTTGCATCACTGATTTACATGGATTGGGCATGGAAGGAATAATCAGAAAGCTCAGGTTATGTGCTTGACCTTGTGCTGTCCATCCAGGGCGGAGGGATAGTGGGTTTATTCCAGCACAGGTGTAGCCAGGTACTGGCTTGGTGCCTGAAAATAGAAAGGAAGCTAAAGCAAAGGCTTTTTCATATCTCCAGGCCATTATYCTTGGATCACAGCACTCCTGGAAAATCTACAGACACAGAATAAGCTAAATAATCTGATTTTTTTTTTTTTTTTTTTTTTTTTGCTACAGATTCTGATTTTTCCATAAGTGTTTTTCATAGGATGAAAATCCAATTTTTATGCAAAAAAAAATGGAATACCTATGTCTGTCCCTCTGTGCTGTTCTGGGGAGGGCTGGGCCGTGGGAGGCAGCACAGCCAGCTTCAGCCTCACTGAGCACATTTCTGACAGGGCACTGCAGCGCATATGTTAAAAATCAAGCAGCACTGAAGTTTTACAGGAAGCACTAAAAATCTGCTGGGTTTTTTGTTATCAAATTTAATTTTGTCCTTTAAAAAGAAAAGCAAACAAATTCAGCTGATGGGTTTATTATTCAAAAGGTTGATTTTACGGTGTTCTGCTTTTTAGAGAATTCAGGCAATTCCTGYTCGAACTCAAATGTCAGCATTTTGTCATTGCATATGTTGTTGCGTAGAGCCATAACGGGGTGAAAAACTGGAGGAGGGGCTCTCTGCATCAGTGTGGCAACCCTGAGAATCCCAGGAACGGCCCTGCGGGATCCCAGGCCATGGGAAAGGGTTTGTAAAGTGCCCTTTGTGTTTCCCTTGCAGCAGGAAGTGCCCTGGCATAGCATGAGCGCCCCCGGCCCCGCGGGCCATGCCCTTGTCCAACAGCTCTGACCTGAGCCCGTCCTTCATCCTGGCCAGCATCCYGGGGCTGGAGGCAGCCCAGTCCTGGATGGCCATCCCTCTGTGCTGTGCCTACGTGCTGGCGCTGGCGGGGAACGGCGCCGTGCTGCTGGTGGTGCGCGCGGAGCCCAGCCTGCACGCGCCCATGTACTTCTTCCTCTGCATGCTGGCCACCATCGACCTGGCCCTGGCCACGGCCACCGTGCCGCGCATCCTGGCYTTCTACTGGTTCGGCACCAGGGAGATCGGCTTTGGGGCCTGCCTGCTGCAGATGTTCCTCATCCACACGCTCTCGGCCGTCGAGTCCACCGTGCTGCTGGCCATGGCCGTGGACCGCTACGTGGCCATYTGCCACCCGCTGCGACACGCCGCCATCCTCACCAACGCGGCCACGGCCAAAATCGGGCTGCTGGCCATGGCCAGGGGAGTGCTCTTCTTCCTGCCTCTGCCCCTGCTCCTCCTGCCCYTGCCCTTCTGYGGCTCCCGGGTGCTGTCCCACTCYTTCTGCCTGCACCAGGACGTGATGAACCTGGCCTGCGCCAACACCACCCCCAGTGTGGTGTACGGGCTCACAGCCATCCTGCTGGTCATGGGGCTGGACGCCGTCCTCATCTGCCTCTCCTACCTCCTCATCCTCAAGGCCGTGCTGAGCCTGGCGGCATGGAGGGAGAGGCTCAAGGTGTTCAGCACCTGCATCGCCCACATCTGCGTGGTGCTGGCGTTCTACGTGCCCCTGATCGGGCTGTCCGTGGTGCACAGGTTTGGGAAGGACCTGGCTCCYCTGGTCCACATCATCATGGGCAACRTCTACATCCTGGTGCCTGCTGTGCTCAACCCCATCATCTACGGGGTGAGGACCAAGCARATCCAGAGGCGGATCCTGAGTTTGATTCACATTAATGCCGGAACTCCCCGGTGACCCGCGCTCGGCCTCTGTCCTGTGTCCTCACACCGCCTCATCTTGTTTTACACTCAGAGTCCTTGGGGCAGGACTGCCCTCTCTGTGTGCTCTGAGGCGCTGCCATCAGGCAAAAAAAGCTGATTGTAAACTCCTTCCAAGAGTTTTTGCCCTCACCCAACGTAGAGAGAAACTACTGCAATGATTAAATCCAAACCTGACCTGGCTAGCTCCACAAGGAAGGAAAGGTGCCTCAGCAAACCAATAAAGATGTTCCAAAACTGCACCTCTTGGTTCCCATCTCACCTCTAACAGTGGCAGAGAGGAGCAGAGGCTGGGTGGTTTGGGGTGATTTAGTGAATTCATTGTTTCCACACATGGCAGAKTCATATTCCAAAATTTTTGCCAGAAACTTTAGCTGTAGAGTCATTCTCCAACTAAAATAATTACAGCACATCTGCCCAAAGTGGCGTTATAGATGCAGAAATKCATTTCAGAAGAGGAACCTCCACCTCTGTGGTCTTGTTCTGACCTGTTGGGTGCTCTTTCAAGACTCCTCACCTTCCTTATATCAGATGTTGTGAAAAAACTTCCGACCCAGTGTTACTGGTAGCAATCTTAWGAATAATTTAAATTAATAATTAAATTCAATAAAATGAAAACTTCTCAAGAGAAAAAAATAAGCAAGTTATAAATGTCAGTGATCATTCCAAGCTGAAGGAAGTCTCCTTTTCAAGCCAAAGGTGTTTCATACTTTTGATTGAACACTGGGAATTCCTAGGAAGTCCTGCCATTGGCACCAGTGAACMGAGTCTGGCACCATCCTCTGCACCRCTYGGAGAGATTTGTATGGACTGATGGGATCCCCTCCAAGGGTCCTCCCATGAATTGTGGTTCACTCTCGGGGTGAAAACAGGGATGTGTTTGCAATTCCCACTGCAGCAGCCACCAGGATCCCTCAGGAAGGGGTGTCAGGGCTGGGAGTTCCCGTTGGATCCGGGTGGGTTTTGCTGCACAAAGCCCTGCAGAGCCGGGCCCTTCTCAGGAAGCCGCAGCAGCCCTGCTTTGGTCTGCTCTCCATCACGAGGCCCAGGGGCTCTCCAAGCACCRATGTCTCCATCAGTACCACAGAATCCCAAAGTCCCTGAGGTTGGAAAAGCCCTCCCAGCCCRTGGAGTSCCAGCTGTGCCCGATGCCCACCTTGTCCCCAGCCCAGAGCACTCAGTGCCACCTCCAGCCCTTCCTGGGACACCTCCAGGGATGGGGAYTCCAAAGCTCCCTGGGCAGCCCCTGCCAAGGCCTGAGCACCCTTTCCATGGGCAAATTCCTTCTGGTGCCCACCCTGAGCCTCCCCTGGCCCAGCCTGAGGCYGTTCCCTCTCCTCCTGTCCCTGTTCCCTGGGAGCAGAGCCCRACCCCCCCGGCTGCCCCCTCCTGTCAGGGAGTTGTGCAGAGCCACAAGGTCCCCCCCGGAGCCTCCTTTGCTCCAGGCTSAGCCCCTTTCCCAGCTCCCTCAGCCGCTCCTCATGGACAGAGGACAGGTCCAAAGGCTGCCCTCGRGATTCCTGTCCATGGCTTTAGGCGAGGGATCTCACCAAAGTCTGTCGTGTGTCAGGGCCTCCAGTGGCTGCAGTGTTTGATGGAGCTTGGTGCAGTTCCTTTCAAATGCCAACAAACACTGAGAGTAAAATTGGTCTCTTTTTTGTAGTCTGTGCTGGTACAGCTTCAGTCTTGACATAACCTTTTCTGCTAAATTAAACCCCCAATTTATTTCAAAATAAATACTTTCATTTAGGCGAGTTACAAACAGTTCTCATCTGGCACTTCAAGGCAATTCTGCTCCCTGTCATTTTTGGCATATTCTGGTTTAATAGAGCTTATAAGGGTAAAARAAAATCACAAAAATGAAAATAATCTGTACCTGCCTAATGTGATTTGGGAAATGTGAATTAATTTTTTGGAGGCATTAATGGTCTAAACCCTTTTCATGTGGCCACAGCATCGAGAAACGGCTCCTGCTCATTCCCCATATGTTCCTTTTCTTCCTCTTGTGCTGAGAAAAAAATTAATAAAAAAAATGAATGACCCACCCTGGAAATGCTATATTATATTTCCTCCTCATTTATTTCTCAGAGTTAACAGAGCCTCGGAGCAGGGAGGCATGATGGATTTCTCCTGGGTGCAGATAAAACTCGCTCTCATCTTGTTTTCCAAGCTGAGTCATGGAGTGCTGCTTTGCTGGGGAACAGAACGTGCTGGAACTGCTGCTTCCTTGGCTCTTGTCTTTGCCAATGCTTGTGGCAGCCACTGTCCAGCTGCGATGTCCAGGGCTGAGGGTGCAGGTCACCTMGCCTGCAGCAGAAGGAAAACCTCAACCAGAACAGGGGGAGGACACCCGACCCACATCTCCTCCATGAGCAGAGCCTGAGCCAGAGGCAGGGCTGGCCCTGCTCAGCTGGAGAGATTTGGGTTCACCTGTCTGAAAAGGGAAGGGTTGAGCTAGGACAGGGAGGGAGGGAAAGGTGGGGTGGCAGTGRTGGGAAGAGAATTGGGAATCACAGGAGCCTGGAGGTGGCAATAGAGRCAGCAAGGACACACGTGAGGATGCAGCAGTTGGAGATCTCCTGGACGATCTCCTGGGGGAGGATCTCCAAATATTCCTGGGAGGGTTTTCCAGCCTCAGGGATTCTGGGATTGWGGTCTAGTGGAAGGTGTCCCTGCCCATGGCAGGTGGTTAGAACTGGATGATCTATCAGGCTCCTTCCAGCCCAAACCSTCCTATAATTCTATGACCACTCTCACATCTCCCCCAAAGTAAAAGACTGGAAGAAAGCAGGTACAAACYGGCAAAACACAGCCCTGTTGGTGAGGTCATCAGCACTGAGAGGGTTAAAACCTGCTGCCTTCTCTGACTTCTGTCGCTAATTACACCTGAAGCAGCGGGGGAGATGCAGAGCTCCCTGCTGGGATTGATGTGTCAGGCAGAAAAACATCTCTGGTCTCTGCAGAGCRGAGTCCCCCTTAGAGACCTGTGGGAGGCGGGTGAGTATTTAGGGTTGGGGCAGCAATTTGTTGCTCTGCAAAAAGGACCTCAGGGCCACCACTCCGGGCAGCCYCGCTGCAGTGTCCCATTCCCTTTGCCTGGAAATTGCATTCCCTGTCCCCATGTTCTCCKCAGAAGAATAGAAGGTTTATTGGTAGAGCAGCATCAACAGAGGCAGCTGCCAGGAAGGAAATGAAGAAGAAATTTGTCGTGACTTTCGAAGCCACAAGGAAAAAAGTGGGGAATGTCCCTAGAGTGCAGGTGACCCTGATCTCAACACGTGTGTGAGGTTTCCAGTGCTGCCCTGACAGCCCAGCCCCAGCTGGTGACCAGTGGCTGTGTTGGGACGGGCTGGGATGGTCACAGTGTGACACCTCCGGATGCAGCAGGAGCAGAGCCCAGCTCGGCTACACCAGAYCCTCGGGGAGGAAAAGCTTTGCTCTGTTCTGGGACTCTGCTCATCCCTCTGCGCCTGCAAGCTTCCATGTGCTCCGGGAAGGCTTCCCAAGGCTCTCATCAGGCCGGGGACATCAGCCTGATCTGCACTGCAGGGCTCTTCGAGGAATCCTTTCTCCCAGGTATTGGGGGAAAATGAGCTGAGCAGGGCCTGAGTGAGTCCCAGTCTTTGGGGGAGAACAGGCAGCCCTGAAGCACTGGGCATGTGGGACACGGGGAGGGGGGTGTCAAACACTGTCACACTGGCACTTCTTGCCCTGAAATCAGGTGTTTCTTGACCAAGACAAGCACTTGGCACCTCAGTTTACACTGATGAGCAGCACAAATGTCCTTAGAGCTCCAGGGCTGGTGACAGGAAGGTTTATGTTGGAGCAGCTTTCCTCTGGTCCCCTGGGCTGGACACCCTCTGGACACTGGACAGGAGCAAGTGTGCACCTCAGGCAGTTTTCCTGTTCAGTTTATCCAGGAAGAATCCAGTGTGCTCCAGGAGAGCCCACCAGGAGGGACAGGGCATTTCAGTGGAAGCTGTCAGGACACTAAATTCACAGGGGCTCTCCTGGCCCGGTGCTGCCAAAGGCTGTGGGGGAAATCTGAGCTTCCAAACCTCCCATCGTGCTGGTCTCTGCCACTAGCCCAGTCAGCTCGAGAGTGTTTGATGTTTTTTTTTTTTCCGCAGGACAGAAAGCCCTCAGCATAGAAAAGAGCCAAGAAAGGTTAATGTCCCTGAACTCTACTGCCTTCTCCCACCCTCCCTATTTCCTCCTCAYTGGTATCCCTGGGCTGGAGGAGGAGCAGTTCTGGATTGCCTTCCCCCTTTGCATCATGTACGGCATCGTCCTGCTGGGGAACACGGCCCTCCTCCTCATCATCAAGGCAGAGCCCAGCCTGCACGAGCCCATGTTCTTCTTCCTGGCCATGCTGGCCTTCACTGACCTGGTCCTGTCCACCTCCATACTGCCCAAAATGCTCAGCATTTTCTGGCTGGGCCCTGGGCAGATTGGGTTTTCCTCCTGCCTCACTCAGATGTTCTTCATCCACGCCTTCTCCGCGGTGGAGTCGGGCGTGCTCACGGCCATGGCCTTGGATCGTCTGGTGGCCATTTGCTGCCCGCTGAGGCACTCCAGCATCCTCTCKGTGCCCGTGGTGGTGGCTCTGGGCAGCCTGGTGCTGGCACGGGGGGTGCTCCTGGTGAGCCCCATTTGCCTCCTGCTCCACCAGAGACATTTCTGTGGGCACACTGTCATCACCCACTCCTACTGTGACCACATGGCCGTGGCCAAGCTGGCCTGCGGGGACATCAGCTTTCACGTCCTTTACGGCCTCATTGCGGCTTTCCTGGTGACAGGGACTGACCTGGCATTCATCTCTGTGTCCTACATCACCATCCTGCGTGTGGTGGCCCRGCTGCCGTCCCGAACAGCCCGGCTGAAAGCCTTCAGCACCTGCATGCCCCACGTGTGTGTCATACTGGCCTTTTACACCCATGGCCTCTTCACGGTCCTCACCCACCGCTTCGGGCACAGCATCCCCCTCCCCGCCCGCATCATGGCAGCCAACCTGTACGTGCTGGTGCCCCCCACCCTGAACCCCCTCGTGTATGGGCTGAGAACCAAGAAGCTCTGGGACAGGGTGGTCATCCTCTTCCAGAGCAAGGGAACCTGACCCACACGGGTTCGACTCCATCATCCTAAAGGTCTTTTCCAACCTTTATGATTCTGTATCTGCCTCAAACTATGCTCACAATTTACTGCAGCTGCAGATAAATTTAATGAGAGAGAACACTGGGAGGAACCTCCCTTCCTGCTCAGAATTTAAGAGATTCATTCTTGSAGAAATCACTTGATTCTCTCCTCTGCTACCACAGTCCATGAGCTTTCATCCATTGTGTGATGAAACTTGTAACTAAAACATTCAGTCTGACTTGTTCATTGCTAGAAATGCAGAGCTCAYGCCTCCCAGGAGTCAAACTACTCACTGCTAAAGTCCTTTCACTATTTAAAAAAATTCCTCTCATGAATAATTATTTTCACTGTAAGGCTGAGCAGTTCTGAAAGACTTTCTGCTGCAGATTTCATCTTATGAAGAATCTTCCCTGACTGTGTGATGGCATTTAAAAGCCTTATAGATGCGGTACTTGGGGATGTGGGTTTGGGGTGGCCTTAGCAGTCTTATATTTATGGTTGGACTCAATGATTTTAAAAGYCTTTTCCAACCTAAATTATCCTGTAATTCCATGGGAAGGTGCTCAGAAGGGAGTGGTGACAATCCTTATAGAAGGAAATCGATAGAATTCCATTTTACGCATTAACCTTGTTTTTGTAAAGAAGGCAAAACCTACTACAATCCTGTGCTAACAGGTTCCAAATGTCCTGTGTAARCACAAAGCCTTCCAAAGAGATCAGAATCCTCACTGCTGCAATTATTTGGAGCGACTTGTCGTCTGGACATCATGGCTTACTGGATTGGGCTGCACACACTCCACCCTGCTCAGGTGAGACCCCACCTGCAGAGCTGCTCCAGCCCTGGGGCCCAGCACAGGAAGGAYRTGRAGCTGCTGGAGAGAGCCCAGAGGAGGCAGCAGGATGGTCAGAGGGATGGAGCAGCTGTGCTGGGAGGAAAGGCTGGGAGAGCTGGGATTGTTCAGCCTGGACAGGAGAAGCTTTGGGGTGAGCTCATTGTGGCCTTGCAGCGCCTGAAGGAGCCAATGGGGACCATTTTCTGCAGGTTTCACAAAAAGTGGTGTTCTTTTCATTGTTATTAAAAACATGGGAACTCCCTTCATGGCCAACATCCATCCCTCCAAGGAGCTCAGCACAGAACYCAGGCACAAACACACATGAACAACTTTGGAATGGGCTTTGAAATCCAAAGGCAGCAAAATCGTCCCATTGCTGAAAAAGGCCAAACCCAAACATTTTGATGGGCAGCCAGTGTTTTCAGAAGTTTTATCTTGTGAGGCCACAGCTGCCAGAAAAGGGAGATCACAGGATCCCAGAATCCCAGAAGGGTTTGGGTGGGAGGGACCTCAAAGCCCACCCAGWGCCACCCCTGYCATGGCAGGGACACCTCCCACTGTCCCAGGCTGCTCCCAGCCCCAATGTCCAGCCTGGCCTTGGGCACTCAAAGGGATCCAGGGGCAGCCACAGCTTCTCTGGGCACC